GGTAAATTCTCTGGGTCGTAGGAAACCATAAAAAGCCAAGTATATGACGGTTTTGACAATGGTGTTTGTAAGGGGTTCAAACGGTGTGGTATCCAGTAGGCGTGACAAACATTTAAAAAGATTTGTCTATAGGCCACCTATGTTGTGGAGTAGGTCCTTGAGATTTGAGCATACCCCTAAGGAGGGTTTTTGTGGGGTAGGAGGTGAGAAAACCTTGTTTGTTGGGTTGTTCTGTGAGCATGTGATGTTGGATGCCCATGAGATATAGTTTAGTGGTATTATGTGACATATTTAATGTAATGTGGCAAAAGCCACCAAAGTTACAATGTCAAACCAATTGGTGAGGTGGTCTGCCATGAATTATTTTGTATAAGTAGTAAGCTCTGTCGTATGCGCTGTGCGTGTTTTTACAAGCGCTAGTCTTGTCAGTCTCTTGCTGTGCATAATTAGATCCTGGAGTTGGGATGCGGTCATGACGCTGTTTGTAGAGACTCCCTGAACGCTTGAAATTGAAAGCGGGACAACTGGTCAGCGGCTGTATTGTATATACGTGGTAACATACCAGATGAAATTGGTGACAGGCCATCAACCATGTTAGGCGTCTGAATTTCATGGTTAGGGAGGCAGACCGGCCCTTGTTAATGATGTGGCAATTGGCAAGTTGTCAGAAAAACATCGGACCAGTCTACCTGCCCATGACTGCCCCCATGTTACTGCTGCAGCTACAATGGGGTACACTTCAAAGAGTGCTGAGTTCCTGTAGAAACCTTCAATTTGGCTTACTACTTCGGCCATTTCCCCCATAGCCAATTATCCCCAAATATGGCCACAAATCCTGTGGAGGCCACTGTGTCAGTCCAAATGGTGGTGGAATCTAGTGACTTGGGGGAGGAACATGCTCCTGTCATTCCAGTTTGACAGGAACACGTTCCACATGTGTAAGTTTGCTGTGGCCTTTAGATAGAGTGGTGCATTTTGTGCTCGTCTGTCAGTGTCGGAAGAAGGCACAGGAGTCTTGAGATGATCTGCCTTGGGGTAGAATACGGATCGCAAAAATTCAGAGAGGCAATCAATGACTGTAGCTCTCTCCTATTGCATGAGCCTATGTGTAAGTACTGTTGTAAGGTTTGTGTGATATTGTCAATCTTGTCTCGAGGGAGGCTGGCTTCCATTGTTAGGGAATTCTGTTGTATCCCCAAAAACTGAATGACGTGTCTGGTCCTTCCGTCTTGGTTGGAGACACTGGGACCCCAATGTCGTTGACTAGGTGTATAGCTTTATGTAGAATCTTATGAGGTGTTGAGTTGCTTTCTACGAAAAGGAAGTCATCCAAGTAATGGATGACGCTATGGCACCTGCTAGTGTTCAGGAGCAGCCAGCACAAGATCTCCACGAAAGTATCAAATATTTGGGGACTGCTCTTTGATCCGAAGGTGAGCCTTGTGAAGTAGTACTGGCCTCTCCATTTGATACCATGCAAGTGCCATAGTGACGGGTGGATGGGGCGTAGTTTAAAGGCATTTACTATGTCTGTTTTGCTCAACCAGGCACCTACCCCTGCTGAGATGGTGGTTATAGCGTTGTCTATGGTGCTGTATTGCAAAGAAAATGCCTCTGACAGGATCAGTGAATTGAGGCTGGGTATCACCGAAGCGTGTGGTGCTGAAAGGTCTATTATGAGTCTGTTTGATGTTTTTCCCGTGACTAGTCCAATGGGGTTTGTTCTCCAATTAGAAAACGGGGGTTCAGTAAATGGACCTAAGACAAATAACTGATTCAGTTCTATTTGTAGTAGGTTGTCTACTGTGTCTGTCACTAAGGGCGGACTGAAGGTTGTTGGCTTCCGATGTACCCCCTGGCATGTATATGAGGCCAGTGTGAAACCCTTGGGGGAAAACCCTGAAATCAAATACTCCAAGATGTGTTGAAGGGTGCTTGGAAAGAAGCCCTGTAAGAACATCAATATCGGTAGTTAGGTAGGGTTTAACGTGCATTTTATTGGGGCACATAGCTTTCTTGTGTGCCCTGAAACAATGAGCATGCATGCAACAGACGGCGAGCGCTGTATGAGCAAGCCCAAACGTTAAAATTATTGCATATCTATGACTTGCCCAAGTGCATTATTGGGCTACCCAGTTTGTCTCTGCCTCGTTTTTCCCACCTTGAAGTGCTTGGTGTGGCATTGTTTGGGGTATAATCCGTGGCTACCGGGCAGAGATTTGCCGCGTGCATGGTAGCCGCACATATTGCACAAGCTGGAGACCTTAGCCCGGCAAAGTGCCTGAGGAACAGCTCTGTGTCCATTTGGCTCCAGTCCATTCTGGCATTATACTGGGCCAGAGCTGTTGCCGCTTTAGTTGCAAATGAACGGTGGTTGTTGGAAAAAGATGAACCACCGTATTTGTTGCCTAGGTCTACCAGCTTGTGCATATACAGGTCTAATTCTTCCCTTCTCAGTGGGTAAACCGAGCACAGTACATCCCTGTAAATGCCGAAGGCATTGGGATCGATAATTTTTTGCTTAATCTTGGGTCTCTGGCCTTAAGGACCACAGAGATCACCATATGTATTCGAGCGGTTCTCTGTGACCTCCTGAGAGGCAATGAGCAGAGAGACCAGATTAACCTCCTTGCCCTCCAGAATATCTCTTATGGTTTGCTG